AAAAAAACTTTACAAAATATATAAATTTATATTTAAAACATTTATTTATATATTTAAATATTATTTATTTATAAAATAATAATAAATTTAAAGTTGAAAATTTTGTATAAATTTAATATTTTAATTATTAAAAATAATAGATTTATAATAAATTTTATAACATATTTTAAAAAAAAATTGTAAGTTTTTATGCAGAATTTTGCATAATAATTGATTGAAAATCCTGACTAAATTTGAATGAAAATCATTACCATTTAAGGGATAGGCATTGACATTAGTATTATCATTGACATTAATGTTAATATTGGCTAAATATGAGAACTATAATTAATAGGTTGCAACTTTTAATGTTACAACATATGTTGCAATTAATTTTAACTTATATATATTACAACTTATACTGTTGTAACATATGTTACAATTAGTAATACCTGACTAAACTCTTTTTTGAAAAATTGTAATTTCGTCAAAAGTTTCGTCTCTTTAATTTTTTTATATGAATAAATATAAAATTATTATTATTTTTAATATATTTTAATTTAAGGAATTTAAATCAAGTTAAATATAATTTTGGCAACTAAGTAAAATAATTTCATCATTAATAAAAAACTAGTTTCATCAATTTCGTCATATTAAGAAAGGTAATTTCGTCAGGTATCATTAGTTACAACTAATTTTAATTTATATTGCAACAAGTTGTAAATTTAGCATTAATTATTATACTATTTTTACATTAACATTGCTTCTTGGAAAGCTTTAATTTTCTATAAATTTTTTTATAATATTTATTATCTAAAACATAGCAAAAGATAATTATTATTATAAAAATTACTGATAACATTTGGTAATAATAGTTAAAAAATCCATTATAAGATAAAAAATTCAAAAAATAAAATAATTTTCATATGAAAAAAATTAAAAAGATTATATATTATTACTAGCTAAAATTTATTATTGGAAAGTTAATTTACAAAAATTATCAAATGATCTACAAAAGTTACTAGAATTAATTTTATGTTGATCATGAAATTAGAGGATCTGTATAATTTCTAATTTTCTGATCAGCCTGATCAGCCTGATCAGCCTGATCGGTTTGATTAATCTGATAAGTCTGATATTAGAAATATTAGATCTTCTTCTTTCTACTCTTCTAATGATATAAGCTAGTAAAATCCATATTTATCATCATGGTAGTCTACAAAAGATATTAAAATTTATTACATATTTCAAATATCTTGAATATTTTTTTTTATCTACATTATAATAAAAAATAAGTATTGAAATGATACAGTTTATTAAAAAATAATATTTTTTAAATAATTTACCTGATCTGAAATACAAAAATTACTTAATTATTAAATATAAATAAATAATAAAATACTATTATATTTGAAATATAATTTGTTATTTATTAGCATTATATAACTTTTATCAATGTAACAATCAATTATTGAAATATATACTGTATATTAAAAACAAAAGTATTTAAAATAATTATAAACAATAATAAAAGTTAATTACTTATCATAAAATCAATATTGCTATTCTTATTTTACAAATATAATTCAAGAATTAATACATTAACTTATTATTATTTCTGTAAATACTAAAATATTATGTAAATAGTTATGTAGTTTCTAATGATAGTATTGCTACTGTTACTGATTATAACAATGATAATAATAACATTGAAAATATTGATATTGATATTACTGATAATAGTGCTACTACTAATATTAGCACTGTTACTAAAGATGATAATAATATTAATGCTACTGATAATAATTTTAATAATATTGATAATGATACTACTACTGATATTAGTACTGCTCCCAATGATAATAATAGTGCTATTACTAGGTTCCGCAATTCGATTTGATATTTGAATATTTGATTTGAAAATCAAATCAAATACAAATTCAAATTTATATTTGAT